CATTAGGCCTATTTCTGAATGAAATAATAAAATGCGACTTATACGCGACATGTTTTTTTTCTCTAAAAAACACAATTTTTTTTTATACGCATAGCGTATCTTAACCATGCAGCAAACCTTTTAAAATATTTTGATAAATTGCTGAATTTTTATTTTTTTATTTTTAAATCGTTTAACTGATTGTATTAATCGGTCAAAATTCTTGCGGACGGTTAATGTTTAACTGATTAAAATGAGCATCCCTACATTATTTGTTTCTTTCTTATATTTGTTCTACTGCTTTATTGCATTTGTTCTTATTAATAATAACAAAGATACAATAAAAATAGCTATATTGTGATTATTAATATAGTAATTATTATTAAGAAAAGAACTGGAGGAAAAGATGCAACATTGCTCAGTAATTTTGCTTTGGAACCTTCAGAAAACTTTAACTCGATTTTTCTCAGAATTGAGTTTGCTGACTCTGTCCACTTCAAACGGGTGTAGCTCAGTCCTCTTTCGTCCGATTCCAACAAATCATACATCATTTTGAAGGTATTGTAATGGAGAAGGTATGAGAAAGGAATTAAAAATAACTCATTTTTGAAAATTTGCTCTTTTTTTTTTACAGTGAACAATAATAATCTCTTATAAGTTAAACGATGGTGACCAAACAAACTGCAGTTATGTGAATTTTTTTTTATGTTTCTTATAATAGGCAGACGTACTGTTGGATTTGTGGTTTTCATTTAAATAATTTAATCCCCTATAACAATTTCAGTTTGCCCAAAGGCATGTGAGAAACTCGGTTGTCACAGTGATCCTTACGGCCCTACTTCACCTTTCATGAAAGTCAATAAATATCACAATTTCAGGGTGGAAATGAAGCCTAAAAAAGATAAAGTAAAGAGGAACAAAATGACATACCATCAGTAATACAATACCATTTTTTTCAGGTCCATTTGCTGTATGAAATCCCTAGAAATGTTACAATATGTGCATTAACAAAATGTGAAATTATCATTTTGGAACGCAAGGATTTGCTTTTACTCTTTGCTGACTACCCTAAAGGTAATAACATTTTCTAATTCTTTGTAATTTATGATGTTTTGTTTTTACTATAAGAGTCATCAATTACAGTACACTAATAGAGTTTCATATCTTTTTCTAAAGCTGCTGTTGAGATTGCCAGAGCTGCCAAGAAACGTCTTCAAAATTTCAGGCATCCCCTACGAGAAGCATGTGCATATGGAGTTGCCTCTGTCCCACAAAATGCTGTATTTGAAAAGGACCAGAGCATCAACCTTGAGGTTAGTGACTGAGTGACTGCTTTGATTTGGCTATAGAGTGGGGAACTATGACGTCAGAACCCAGAAGAGTAATGCGCCGCTGATTTCTTAGAGATTTTCCATTGGGGTTTTATAATGGGGTTTTGCAATTTATAAGTAAAATAAAGCCTGTGGTAAACATAACATGGCCATACTTTGACGTTTTGTTCTACAACTTAAATTACACACATCCATACCCAAAACACACATTTTTAAGCAATTATGTTCATTTTTGAAAACATATGTTTTTAATAAGTAACTAGACGAGAAAGTTTGGGGTATGAGTGTGTGCAGTTTATGTTGTAGAACAAAACATCAATGTATCGTCACGTTATGTTTAACACAGGCTTTAATTATGTTTTTGAAAATCCACATTTGACGTGATAGTTCTCACACTCTATTTTTGAAATAGAGTTGTTTTTTTTCTAATAATTGTACAGCTATACTAAGTATTATTGCAAAACATTTGTTGTAGACAAAAGATCAGAGGATTTTTGGAGCATCCTTGGAATACGTTTTAAACCAGCCCCATCAATTTGATGTGAGTATTGTGAATGTATTTAAATAGTTATTCCATTCGTTATTTACTTGCTTTGTCTGTTTCTCTAGTCTTTTTGGAAGAGAACTTTACACCCTGAAAGTGCTTTTGTAAAGGTCTGGAGGTTTTTTTTTTTCTGGTGCATCACTGTTTCAGTTTTCCTGGAGATATGGGTGTTTTTTTTCACCAGCAATGCAGAATCAAAGGGTATGTGTCTTTTTTATTTAGAGCATTGTTGTTTTAGTGAGAGGTTAACAGCATTACATACAGTCAAAGCAAAAATTTATTCAGACACCTTCAACATTTCTCACATTATCACAGTTTTTTCGCTATAGTTTAGAAAATGGTAATAAAATTTGACATGAACTCAGGCTGATGATACACGGGGCAACTTTTTGAGCAATGTTGCCAGCCAACTTTGAGCAGTGTTGCCATCAACGGGCAACCAGCTGAGACAAAGGGCCCACGACCGATCTAAAGTATCCAGATAGAAATTTGTTACCCATTCTCAATGGGAAAATGCCCAAGCAACGTTGCACAAAAAAAGTTGCCCGACAAAACTGCTCAAAAAGTTGCCTCGTGTATGTATGTAGGTATGTAATGGATTACAATCAACCAAAAAATGATTCAGCTGTTTAAGGGGTCATATGACGTTGCTAAAAAAGAACATTATTTTGTATTTGGTGTAATGAAATGTGTTTATGCGGTTTAAGCTGGTTTAGGCCGAATACCTCAAGCGTGTGACGGAAATGTTACACCCCTTACCATACTGTGATGCCGTGTCCCGGCACGACGAGACAAAAACAATAAAACCTATAATAAACGAGGCATTTAATGCATACAGTGGGGACATAATTACGGATTATAATTACTTATACTGTCTTTTTACGCATTGCGTTGCATCGCGCCGCGTAAACATAAAACCATGTCTGCAATTGTGATTGGAGAAACAACAAACAACAAGCGCTACTCTACACTGCTCAAAACTCGCGTTTGAATCATCAGTGGCAAATCCTTTAAATGAAAACGTACTTGCAGGCTGTGAGCCGGCATTATTTGTCAGAACACCGGCATTGTAGGCTACTCTCCCAGGAAACAGTCCTTATCCTCCATAAAATGTGTTGCACACATCGAGAAGCAGCACATTCAGTTGGCCGCACCGCAGCCGACTCGTCAATAAATGAGTACAAAACAGCGTTTCCTAGCACCTGTCGCTTACTGATTGTTTGGGATTATAAATATGAGCGTAGTTCGTCTGTTAATATCACATGCACTTTTTTGTTTGTTGTTTTTATTAGTTTGTTACTCAGATGCAGGCAGTGCGCTGCATGAGACGAAAAAGTAATATAGCCAAAACAACCGCATAGTCGCTCTTTAGTGTAGATGCATGTTGATTTTATCAGATGATGCCGCGATTATAAATGAGAGTGACTCCTGGTTAACATTAAAAGGGGTCGTGTTTAGTCACTATTTAGTGTGGAATTGTTTGACAATATTCACTCATCATGACAGTAAAATAGGTCATTCTAAGTCAATATACTACAGTATTTCTTCTCTCAGTCAGTAGAAAATATGGTTAACACCCGGTCATGACCAGCACTAGTCAGGTCAAAGTGTCTGAATAATTTTTGGTCCCAATTTTTTTATCAATTTTACTGGTAGTCCACTGTATGAAGAATTTTTGGGTATAATATGTCATAGTTCACTTTATTTTGCTATCCTAACTTAACATAAATGAACTATAGTGTCCTGCACCCACTAGTAAAAAAATATCAAAAATTATATCTGGTGTCTGAATAATTTTTGGTTTGATTGTATGCTCATATTTGACTCTGAAAAAAAAAATTAACAAAACATTGTTTATGAAAAAAAAAGTATAAATGTAGAACACGTCTCAGTTTTGTTATGCTAAAAATGAAATATTTTAATTAATATTCTAGTACATTTAATCTGTTGGTGTATTAAAGGCACAAAGACCTGTGCTTAGGCTTTTTAATATTTTGTCTAATATTAGTCATTTTTTGTTGTTGCCTGTTAAGGGCTTTTCAGTGGAGGCTGGGGTACATTTTACCTGTTAGTTAGTGGCCTGATTTACATTGTTGCTGCATTTGACATACTAGTAAATCTTCGTACTGGAGTGCTTACGGAAGATGGTAGGTCGATGTTTAATGTACATGTTCATTTTCGTAATAAAAGCACATTTGATATATCTTGGTAAATTGTTTATTGAAAAATGTGTTAAATAACTTAAAACTGATTTTCATTTGTGCACAGAAAAATATGTTTAACATTAATTGTATGTGTTCACTGGTGTGGAGTATATGGCAGGAGTATATCAAAGCATAAATCGCATTGTTGCCTATTACTCTATATAAAATCATGGTATGTGACTTAACTAAGAGACCCTTAACACCAAATACAACACAAAGCACAACCTTGCAGAACAAAGGTGTTATGAGAAAAACAAAGAGTTTTTTTTTTAGTTAAATTAATATTAAAAATTAATAAATTAAGTTGAATCAAAATAAAACTGAAATTGCAATATAGCTTAGAGTCAGAGGTTTTTAGGGGTGTGAGCTATGTTAAGGGCTATGTTATGTCAATCGCAGAATCCTTCCAGTAGGGCTGGACGATATGGCCAAAATTTATATCATGATATATTTCTTAATTTCGGTCAATATGATATAATTCCAATATCGATATGAACAATATTAAAAAGAAAAAGCCTCATAAAAACTGCCAAGAACACCCACAACAGATGTCTGTACCTACAAACTTCTGAAAAATGAATTTTAATTTTACTATGAAACCTCTTCCTATAAAACTATATAATATTTAAGAAAAAAAAAACAGCACAAATAAATTAATGTTTACCTTATATCAAACTATAGGCTGACATACACTACCAGTCAAAAGTTTTTGAACAGTAAGAATTCTTTAAAAAACATTAAAAGAATTCTCTTCTGCTCACCAAGCCTGCATTTATTTGATCCAAAATACAGCAAAAACAGTAACATTTTGATTTTTTTTACTATTTAAAATAACTTTTCTATTTTAAAATATTTTAAAATGTGATTTATTCCTGTGATTTCAAAGCTGAATTTTTAGCATCAATACTCCAGTCACATGATCCTTCAGAAATCATTCTAATATGCTGATTTGCTGCTCAAAAACATTTATTATTTTGTTGAAAACA